CGTCCACCGACCAGCTGTGGACCAGTGGTGGGACACTACAGGTCCACACGGACCCCGGGACGACCCTCGGGGTCGTTCCCCACACAGAGGCTTCAAGAGTGACACCTTCAGTCACGCCTCAAGTACGACCCCAGTCTGCACTCATGGAGGTTCCGCCTCTTAGTCTGTCCTCAGTAGACCCCAATATCACCGGGGTACCCAAAATTGGACCCCAGATGACGATGTTCCACTATCATCAGGACCCCAGCAGTCCCCAGGTTGTCCTGTCGACGACCCCACTGGTTGCGGAAGAAGAACAACGACCCCAGTCCAGTCCATTACCATCGGTCCATCAACAACGGACCCCAGTGTTGCCTGTCATCATCGCACGGCAACCTCCAGTAGACCCCAAGCTGACTACGGTGGACTCTGGTTGTCTGTCATTAGTAAGACTACCCCGGTAGACCCCATTATGCCAGTTTCCAACTCAAGGCGACCCCAGTGGACCCCAGGTTGTCCTGTCGACGACCCCACTGGATGAACGAGAAAGAAGGAATAAGAAAGAAGAGAAGGAAGAAGAAAGAAGAAAGAAGAAAGAAGAAGGAAGAAAGAAGAAGATGCATGGGCCACCGTATACGACCAGCCTGTGACGGTTGGCGCCCGGCCCCTAGTGATGGTCATTGGTCACTAGCGGGGCCCAAGAAGATGCTCACACTTGGCACTTAGTCTGGTGCTTGGTGTTGGGAGCACTACACGCAAGGACGCTGTGTCTAGACCAGCCCGGTTGCCTTCATTGGCTGCCACTTGCCGGCAGACACAACATCTTGTGGCCGTGTGTGAGGCAGCGTGACAGTACAGACCGAAGACTCCGTCGAGGGATGTGGGCAGAAGGACGTCGCTGGAAGAGCAGCGCGGGTCTGTAGTTTGGGAGTGAAAATTGCCGCCCCAATGGTCGCGCCAGGACCCCAAAAACGCTGGCCAGTAGATGCTCGGCGTGGGCTGACCCTGACGTGACGGGGGCTGCCGAGTAAGCGGTATAGTGCACCTAGTAGGCTCTTGGCTCTGACCCCGGTTAACAGCGTTGTTGTGGCGCCTGAAGGAGCAGCATCCGGAAGCTGATGAATCGGGAAGCATTGTTACGACCCTCATTCAGCGGATGAATCGGGAAGCATTGTTACGACCCTCATTCCTGCCTGCAAATCGTGTCTCCCAGTGCCACATCTTCAGATACTTTTATAAGACATTTTAGTATGCTGAAAAGTATTGAAAAAAAAAATTTGTTTAAAAGAATAGACCCAGTGAAAATTTGTACTGAAATATTTTAGCTAGGATTTTGTAATTATTTTTTTCTTAGGATGTATTTTCTTGTATTTTTTTATGCACCTTGTTGATATGTTTATTCTTACTTTTTTATTTTTATGTCTCCACTAAATGAAGTTTTCGAGTGTGATTCAATCTTGATTGGATCCCACTACAAAAAGCTTCATTTTGGGGGAGATAGGGGGATATGTAACAGTGCAAGTATTTTGCACTCTTTCATGTATAATTGTGAAGTATAATTGTGAGTTGTACTTGTGTATGTGTGTGTGTGTGTGTGTGCGTGTGGGTGTGTGTTGGTGAGGAGGCTGCGGTAGTGGAGGAGTGGGCTGGCCTGTGCTGAGTACTTTAAACAAAGAAGCCCTGTTCTGGCTTGCGAGAGTACCCACCCTGGCTCGGCCAGAGAGATGGGTGGTAGTGAGTTAGCGACCGCCTTACAGAGAGAGAAGGTGACCAGCCAGTCTTCCTCACCCTGACGGGTGACACTCCAGGCACCCTCAGGGTGTATCCGTCTGAGTTGTGAGGTAAGAGTGTCAGTAATGCATTGTCTTGATTGGGTGTCTTAGTGGTGACGAGCTGAACCATTTAGCCATGTATGGTGTGGGCGTGTATGGTGTGGGCGTGTATGGTGTGGGCGTGTATGGTGTGGGTGATCCCCCCCCCCCTTTTAATTTGGTCAATATTGTGTTAAATAATAGAATGTCAGTGTTAAATATCAATTGCTGGAATTTGGAATAATGAAATAATTTGGTAATAAACATCTATGTGTAGAATAACAAACTTGACTTTTGTTCAGTCCTCTTTTTGAATCAATGTCCCCACAAGTAAGAGTTAAGGCTAGAGAGATATCTTGATGAACACGTGAGAGATAACTAAATTAAGCAGTGTTCCTGTCGCATTGTTTAAGTGGAAGTGAATTTAGATTCAATGACAGGTGGTGGCAGCAAACATCAGAACATCTTAGAATATCAGTATAGTATAACAGCATCGATAGAGTAGAATAAAATCAGTCTACTCTCCCCTTTCTTTTTATTCCTCCTACATCACTCTACTCCTCCTCCTTCATTCTCTCCCTCCTGCCTCCCCTCTCCCGTTCGCTTCCCGTTTTCTATTCCCGCTCGCCTCTCTCTCTACCTCAGTTTCTGCCTCAACCCCTACCCATGTTCTATCCACCCATCCCCTTTCTTTTCTTCCCTCCTCCTCTCTCTTTGTTTTTGATTTTCTACATAAGTCTTCCACCCTCCCCCGTTACAAAAAGGGCCACCACTTACGGGCTATTCATGCCCATGCCACCTTTTAGGTGGCTTAATCTACATCAATCAATCAATCAGAATAGCGGACAGTACAATTTCCACAGTCAACAATGTAGCACTCGGCGTGTACAGTTCTACTCAACCCAAGACGCTACAGCTTCGACACAGAGCAGACAGCAGACTACGACCGCTTCGAGCTACAACGCTCTCGCTCTCCAAGTTCAGACACTTGAAATTTCCAATCGAGCCGCCATGCTCTCGCTCCCCGAGTTCAGATACTCACAATCCAGCCGTCACGCTCTCCAACATAGAGCTCTGCGACTCCGGCCTCACTCAGCTCTCTGCTCTGCTCCAAGCTCCGTCTGAACGTTTACGACAATGCCACCAACCGACTACTGTAATCAAGACTACTAAATAAATATGAAAACTCACTTAACAATGTATATCTAATCTACCCAACAACGTAACATAAACGTACGTTACAAGTTCATTGAAACTCCCACGTGCAACATTTCCAAAGCATCCGGCAAGGGAAAAGTATTGCAGAAATGCAAACATATTGTTTGGGATGAATGCACAATGGCCCACAAACGATAGCTCGAGGCTCTTGATCGATTCTTGAGGTTATCTCGAGATGATTTCGGGGCTTAGTATCCCCACGGCCCGGTTCTCTGCCAGGCTTCCTTTCTGTTACACACCCCCAGGAAGCAGCCCGTAGCAGCTGTCTAACTCCCAGGTACCCATTTACTGCTAGGTAACAGAGCATCAGGGTGAAAGAAACTTTTTGCCCGTTAGTCTCCATCTCCAATGGGGATCGAACTCGGAACCTCAGGACTACGAATCCGAAGCGCTGTCCACTCAGCTGTCAGGCGCCCCGATCATTGTAAGATTTGCATGGAAACATCAGACCATTTGGGAACGCATTAATATTGCTTGCAGGAGATTTCAAGCAAACATTACCTGTAATTCCTGGATCGACACCAGCGCACGAAATAAATGCTTGCCTGAAATACTGTACTTTGTGGCGCCACGTAAAGACGTTAAAATTAACTACAAATATGCGTGTCCAGTTGCAAAACGATCCATCAGCTGAGATATTCTCACATCAATTTCTGGAAATTGGGAACGGAAACGTGCCGGTTGATGTGAAATTCGTGCCCTCAGGACGAATTTCCTTGCCTCATAACTTCTACAATTTAGTGATGTCAAAAAAATAATTTGTTGGAAAAAGTATTTCCCATTATTCAAACCTATTATAAGAATCACGATTGGCTGAGTGAACGAGCTATTCTTGCGGCCAAGAACTAAGACATCTACGAACTTAACAATATTATTCAGTCTAACAATCAAGGCGAGGCAGTCACATACAAGTCCGTCGACACTGTTGAGGAAGCAGATGAAGCGATTAATTATCATACAGGATTTTTTAATTCACTCGATCTGCCAAGGATACCACCGCCTGTACGGCAATTGAAAATCGGCTTGCCAATTATCATGTTGCGAAATATATACCAGCCAAAACTTTGCAACGGCACGCGGCATGCAGTAAAAAATTAATCAGCAACGTCACAGCAGTAACAATCTTGACAAGAATTTTCAAAAGTAAAGATGTTCTTATTCCTCGCATTCCTATGATTCCAACAGATATGCCAATTCAGTTTAAGAGATTGTAATTTCCAATTCGATTGGCGTTTGCAATCACCATCAAAAAAGCTCAGGGCCAATCTTTAGAATTGTACAGTTTAGATCTAGACACGGATTGCTTCTCACATGGACAATTATATGTTGCGTGTTCTAGGGTCGGCAAACCAGACAATCTCTATATCTCCACAGACGATAGACCAACAAAAAATATTGTATACCACAAAGCATTGTAAAATTAAGCATATTAGAAACGTGCGCTCTCTCTTCCATTTCTTTTCCATTTAACCAGACTGAGCCACAGCAACGCGTGGCGGGTACAGCTAGTATTTAAATAAATGTGTCTGAACCTTATTTATCATTTGAGAAATTCCTTTTCACAAAGATGAGTTAACTGCGATAGTCTCACAGTAAAAGTATTATGCTGAACTTAGGTAAAAAAAAAAAAAGTAATTTTATCAACAATGTTGGGCAAAAAATGCTACTTATCCAGAAAATATTAAATGTCAAACATGCACTGCATGAACCATTGAAAGCTTTTCGCATTCAAATGTAGCAAATTACTATTAATTAGTAATACTATCTAAATGCATACTCTTAAAAGATGGGTTTTAAATCATAGTCGAATTAATTTCCTTCCACAAGAAACCTTGTTGGGATGTACTGCATACGCAAAGTTAACTTTAGCCCAAGAATACAAGACTCAAGTATAGTTGCTGGTGGGTTAGTGAGCTAGCTAGTGGCACGGTTTAAGAACAATCCAAAGGTTGACAGGTGTAAATCCCAACACCAAAAACTTGGTTAACTTACATATCAAGCATATAACCATAGATGATACTGCCAAAAAGGGTGCCAAGTTGGCTCGCTGCTTGAGTGGTAGAGTAGAGAGGTCGTCGATCACACACCAGGTCCCACTGAAATATAACTCGTTTAGTCTCGGTTATAAACCTTGTGATACAAGTATTCCTTATATCCTTCACATTCTTATGTAGTCTCATTCTGACTCATGGGTCATCTTAGCCACTAAACTTACAACAGTAAATTATACAATAACTGTTGTTCTTTATGTAAACAATATTTCAAGCTAACGCCAAGTCAGCAAGCCGATGGGTTTACAACCAACAACCCTCCCTGTCAAACGTTGACGTCAAAATCCCAAACGGACAAATAAAAGGGTAGTATAATTCATAGCGACTCGCAAACATTCCCTTTTTCAATAATAGGAGTCCATAGGTTAGGTGAAGCTCCATTGTTTTAATCCTCCATTTTCTGTTCGTTGTGGCAACTCCAGAGGACGAGCTGCACTGATCTACATTACATTACTTGATATCATTTAGAAGATTTACTCAATGTCACTGTTTTTCGTGCATCGTCACAAACACAAGTGTCGTAGTAAACACAGTACCAGGAACACAGGTGTCGTAGTAAACACAGTACCAGGAACACAAGTGTCGTAGTAAACACAGTACCAGGAACACAAGTGTCGTAGTAAACACAGTGCCAGGAACACAAGTGTCGTAGTAAACACAGTGCCAGGAACACAAGTGTCGTAGTAAACACAGTACCAGGAACACAAGTGTCGTAGTAAACACAGTACCAGTTCCTGTGTTCCACAGGAACACAAGTACAAAAGTTGGAGATGTAGGCAGGAGTGAAAGGGAAGGTACTTCACTGGATAAAGGAATACCTAAGTAGCATCGGTAAGCATAGGTAGCATAGATAAATGAATACCTAAGTAGCATAGGTAAGCATAGGTAGCATAGATAAATGAATACCTAAGTAGCATAGGTAAGCATAGGTAGCATAGATAAATGAATACCTAAGTAGCATAGGTAAGCATAGGTAGCATAGATAAAGGAATACCTAAAGGTGAGGCATCAGATTGGCGAGACTTCACCATTGGAGTCCCACAGGGTTCAGTCCTTGGACCTGTACTGTCTCTGATATGTGTAAATGATCTACCAGAGGGAATAGAATCATTCCTCTCATTGTTTGTTGATGATGCAAAAATTATGAGGAGGATTAACACGGAGGAAGATAGTAGGAGACAACAAGATGACCTAGACAAACTGAATGAATGGTCCAACAAATGGCTACTAAAGTTCAACCCGAGTATATGTAAGGTAATGAAACTAGACAGTGGAATAGGAGGCCAGACACAGGATACCGAATGGGAGATGAAGTACTTCATGAAACGGACAGAGAGAAAGATGTAGGAGTTGATATCACACCAAACTTATCTCCTGAAACCCACATAAAAAGAATAACATCTGCGGCGCAGGCAAGGCTGGTTAAGATCAGAACTGCCTTCAGGAACCTGTGCAAGGAATCATTCAGAATCTTGTATACCACATTTGTAAGACCAATCCTGGATTATGAGGCCCCAGCATGGAGCCCGTACCTTGTCAAGCACAAGACGAAGCTGGAAAAAGTTCAGAGGTATGCCGCTAAGCTAGTCCCAGAACTAAGAGGCATGAGTTACCAGGAAAGACTGCGTGAAAAGCACCTCACGACACTTAGAGACAGAAGAGTAAGGGGAGACATGATCACATCCTATAAAATTCTCAGAGAAATTGACAGAGTAGATAAAGATAAACTGTTTAACACAGGTGGTATGCGAACAAGAGGACACATGTGGAAACTGAGTATCTAAATGAGTCACAGGGACGTTAAAAAAATATTTTCAGTGTCAGAGTAGTTAACAGATGGAATTTATTAGGCAGTAATGTGGTGGAGGCTGACTCCATACAGTTTCAAATGTAGTTATGATAGAGCCGAGTAGGCTCAGGAATCTGTTCACCAGTTGATTGACAATTGAGAGGCGGAACCAAAGAGCCAGAGCTCAACCCCCGCAAGCATAACTAGGTGAGTACAAGTGTAGTAACAAGTACAAGTACAAGTGTACAACATCTCTTTCTAGGCGTTTAACGATGCATAAGCAACAGGGCTCCATTAGGAACATATAATCTCTTCCCACAACCAAACCATCGCCAGAGAAATCCTAGTAAACAACACAGAAATCATCGATAGATACAGCGATAGCAGGCGGCTTGACGTTTGCGAGGCATTACACATCAAGAAGTCAACACCAGCAATCAACAGCCAATTAATGCACAACTATATTCTACCCACCTCAAGACTCAGCTCCAATATAGAAGCATCAAGAAATATGGACCAATAGGCTTTCTACAATCACTTCTATTCAATACCCATTGTTTCGTGTTCTGTCTTGTGTTGATGAAATTAATACCTTATTAAATACCACCTCACCCCATCCACCTCATTCAAATGTAGATATAAACAAAATCGGAGATGTGTAAGTTCTATTCAGTTGTGTATGTGTTAACTAAAGTCTTCGAAAATGTAATAAGTTTACGAAACGCGCTCAAGTGTCGCGTCAGACTAGAAATAAAAATGAATTTTGGAGAATTGATTTTTGAATTACCACCAACAGTGAAAAGAAATGTACGAAAGATTGAGAAAATTCGTGTTAGAATTATTAATCTTACTTTTTCGGTCATATTTAATAATATATGTCTACAGGAAAGACTGCTACCAAAATATACTAATATATATATATATATATATATATATATATATATATATATATATATATATATATATATATATATATATATATATATATATATATATATATATATACATCTTTAGAACACTTTCCCACCAGGAGACTCGAACCCTAGCCAGCACAGAAGCCTTCCAGCAACTGGCATAACAGGTACGCCTTAACCCGCTCCACCACCCACTCAGACCCTTAAAAGAGATGGTAATTTCGGAGGTGGTGATCTTTGGTGTATTTAAATACTCCGAAATTACCATCTCTTTTAAGGGTCTGAGTGGGTGGTGGAGCGGGTTAAGGCGTACCTGTTATGCCAGTTGCTGGAAGGCCCTTAAAAGAGATGGTAATTTCGGAGGTGGTGATCTTTGGTGTATTTAAATACTCCGAAATTACCATCTCTTTTAAGGGTCTGAGTGGGTGGTGGAGCGGGTTAAGGCGTACCTGTTATGCCAGTTGCTGGAAGGCTTCTGTGCTGGCTAGGGTTCGAGTCTCCTGGTGGGAAAGTGTTCTAAAGTTCTATACTTCACTCTCGTGTTTAGGAGAGTTGTGCCTTAAGCATAGACACTGTGTCTTCCCATATTAACAGGGACTTGATGAAATTAACGTCTAAATGACCCCTCACTTGCTCTAGTGCTCTTGGGAGGTGGTGATCTTTGGTGTATTTAAATACTCTGAAATTACCATCTCTTTTAAGGGTCTGAGTGGGTGGTGGAGCGGGTTAAGGCGTACCTGTTATGCCAGTTGCTGGAAGGCTTCTGTGCTGGCTAGGGTTCGAGTCTCCTGGTGGGAAAGTGTTCTAAAGTTCTATACTTCACTCTCGTGTTTAGGAGAGTTGTGCCTTAAGCATAGACACTGTGTCTTCCCATATTAACAGGGACTTGATGAAATTAACGTCTAAATGACCCCTCACTTGCTCTAGTGCTCTTGGGAGGTGGTGATCTTTGGTGTATTTAAATACTCCGAAATTACCATCTCTTTTAAGGGTCTGAGTGGGTGGTGGAGCGGGTTAAGGCGTACCTGTTATGCCAGTTGCTGGAAGGCTTCTGTGCTGGCTAGGGTTCGAGTCTCCTGGTGGGAAAGTGTTCTAAAGTTCTATACTTCACTCTCGTGTTTAGGAGAGTTGTGCCTTAAGCATAGACACTGTGTCTTCCCATATTAACAGGGACTTGATGAAATTAACGTCTAAATGACCCCTCACTTGCTCTAGTGCTCTTGGGAGGTGGTGATCTTTGGTGTATTTAAATACTCCGAAATTAGCATCTCTTTTAAGGGTCTGAGTGGGTGGTGGAGCGCGTTAAGGCGTACCTGTTATGCCAGTTGCTGGAAGGCTTCTGTGCTGGCTAGGGTTCGAGTCTCCTGGTGGGAAAGTGTTCTAAAGTTCTATACTTCACTCTCGTGTTTAGGAGAGTTGTGCCTTAAGCATAGACACTGTGTCTTCCCATATTAACAGGGACTTGATGAAATTAACGTCTAAATGACCCCTCACTTGCTCTAGTGCTCTTGGGAGGTGGTGATCTTTGGTGTATTTAAATACTCCGAAATTACCATCTCTTTTAAGGGTCTGAGTGGGTGGTGGAGCGGGTTAAGGTGTACCTGTTATGCCAGTTGCTGGAAGGCTTCTGTGCTGGCTAGGGTTCGAGTCTCCTGGTGGGAAAGTGTTCTAAAGTTCTATACTTCACTCTCGTGTTTAGGAGAGTTGTGCCTTAAGCATAGACACTGCGTCTTCCCATATTAACAGGGACTTGATGAAATTAACGTCTAAATGACCCCTCACTTGCTCTAGTGCTCTTGGGAGGTGGTGATCTTTGGTGTATTTAAATACTCCGAAATTACCATCTCTTTTAAGGGTCTGAGTGGGTGGTGGAGCGGGTTAAGGCATACCTGTTATGCCAGTTGCTGGAAGGCTTCTGTGCTGGCTAGGGTTCGAGTCTCCTGGTGGGAAAGTGTTCTAAAGTTCTATACTTCACTCTCGTGTTTAGGAGAGTTGTGCCTTAAGCGTAGACACTGTGTCTTCCCATATTAACAGGGACTTGATGAAATTAACGTCTAAATGACCCCTCACTTGCTCTAGTGCTCTTGGGAGGTGGTGATCTTTGGTGTATTTAAATACTCCGAAATTACCATCTCTTTTAAGGGTCTGAGTGGGTGGTGGAGCGGGTTAAGGCGTACCTGTTATGCCAGTTGCTGGAAGGCTTCTGTGCTGGCTAGGGTTCGAGTCTCCTGGTGGGAAAGTGTTCTAAAGTTCTATACTTCACTCTCGTGTTTAGGAGAGTTGTGCCTTATATATATATACATATATACATATATATATATATATATATATATATATATATATATATATATATATATATATATATATATATATATATATATATATATATATATATATATATATATATCTGAATACAGATAATACTTGTCTGAATACAGGGGTAACACAATTAAATTACGAATATCATAGTAGTGAAATAACAAAATTATCTAACCATAGATAAGTGGCATAAAAGCATCATTACTAACATCTTGGTGGCTATATTACAAATATTATTTTGTGGTGTCATATAGACATCACAAAGAAAACCAAAGCTTAGTATTACATAGACATTTCAGACCTAAAACTTAATTTCAACATACAAACTTTTACGTCAATGTATGGTGTTGAAATATATATACCGAGTCTTTCGCACCATTTATCGATGAATATACGTTGAAATTTGAATTTAGTTAGCCACTTTGTTCAGTACAAAACGTGTCCTGAATACTTGCTGAATGGTCAATAAACTATTAATTATTGTGGCTTTAATAACCATTAGAGGTTGATTGGCTTTAAACTAATCACCAAACCAAATTCAAAGATTAAAACTGTACCATCAAGACCTAATTTCAGTGTAACAGAAATTGTTACTGGAACAACACACAATATCACACTCATAACCAGTACATGGGTCATTACTGTATTTCATTAAAAAATATATATTTTGCAGTTTCTGATGGAAGGGACCTGATGATCACTTTATGAGTGACAATATAAGACGTGGATTTATTAAATGAGAGAAAAAATGCTACTCAAAAACAATATTGAGAGAACGTAGGAGAGAACTCACTTAAACGCAGTAGACCACAATATTTACAAATAACCCAAAGAAAACAACGCACAGGTTTCAAACAGTACATAGCAGAAATACATCACTGATCTGTTTACATCAACTACAGAAACAAAAATGTTCTTTTTTTGTGTTCAAGTATATACGGGCCGTGTATGTAAGCCTATGTTTATGCACAAAACATATTAACATAATTATTAAACATAATTATTAATTATATGATTTCATTAACACGCAACTAAAAATAATATTTAATTATGGATCATGTTGGGTCTAAGGCCTATGTCTGTCTTAAGTCTTAAGGCCCATCTCTGGCACTGTTGAGTTATTAAAGCCGTAACTACCTTTCTGAACCAAGAAGCGGGTACATTTCTTTCATATAATGTATCACCTGCTGAAGGGTTATTAAGTCCATGACAATAGTATACTTACTAATCATCAAATACTCTTTAGCCCTTAACATAGTCCAGATCTGAAGTAAATTCTGAAGTGAATGTATTCCGAAACAAAAGACATACATACCACTCTGTGTATATCTCCTATCAATCGTAATTATATATACATGCAACCTGTTTTATTCATCCCAAAACATTATAAATATAACATTACCTCTGTGACAGTGGTAGAATCATACTGGGATAAATTAAACTGGTGTGAGGTGCATGAGAGAATGTCAGCGTTGGGCAGAGCAATGGCTGACTCGTTGGCCAGGCTCTTGTCAAAGCCCAGCTCCACTGCTGCTGTATAGTTGTAGTTCCGCATGAAACATCCGTTCACTTGCCCTGTATCATTGCTGTAACGTAACACATTATTATATTACCTCCAGCAACTGCTGTAAATATCATGTTAAGTGTCTATATCAAATCTTCAATTTATTATGAACTGCATGCCACGTAATGATAATTAAACTTATAAATATATAAGTTGGTTGTATGAAGTCAAGGCCTACCTCCGAATGAATTCTAAATTTGTTACTATTACCCACTAAACAATCTGCCTGTTACTAATTATTGGGGTTAGTGAAATTTTTATTTTTTATTTTTTTTTTATTTTTACATGCAGAGCATGCAAATTAAATACAATAAAAATACAGAATACATAAAGGAAAACAATAGACCACCGGCCAGAAGGGCCGACAGCAGAGCACAACAAAACACATACACAAGAAAAACATGAAAAATACAGCATATATCAAAGCACAAAACAGAATACAATGGCAATCCAGCAATCACAGTACAAAACAACACCTCCAAAAAACAAAACATACAACAAGAGGCAACAGGTAAAGCAACAGAAAATCAATACATTAACGCCCCGTAACAAAAGGCGAGGCCAATTACAATAAAAAATCAGGCAGAAACACAAGTCACTAAACACCGGCCTGAAGGGCCAACATCAAAAACACAAGAAAACAAAAAGAAAAAGAAAACACACAGCAAGCACACAGACTACGAAAAGATCTCATACTTGTCCGGCCACTCTTCCGCCGGGAAGCGAATACAGTACGCTTCCCAAAGTAACATAATGTCCTCCGAAACATGGTCACTATTGAGCGTACGAGGATCGGGCATTAACTCTGGCACACCCACAATAAAACACTTAGCCCGACGAATCCAGATGGTAGAAGGGCACCACGGAGCAGGACGCACACGGTCAACAATTTCAAAATGCAACGGATGGTCAGCATCCATCGCCACTCCGGAGGCCAAGATGAGAGGAAGAGGCTCCTTCCCAAGAGGCCGGGCAATGGGCAGCACACTAGGAGCCTCTTCAGCTGCCTCACAGGGCTCCTTGGCAACCACTGAACGTTGCTCCTGCTGGGACCCCCCACGCTTGGCATCCTTTTTCAGCACCAGCTTGATGCCTCGGCTCGCACCAGGATCCACACCATCCACGCCCGTAGGAGCAACCACCTCCCACTGCGAAGAACCTTCTGCAGGAGAAAGAACAGGAGGTAAATTAGACGCACAATCATCGTCAACAGCCGACACATGGACATCAGCCACCACCGCGTCGTAGTCCTCCATATCAGCCCAAGCAGTAGAAGAGCGCCTAGAACGCTTGGGCACTGGCCGCACATCCTCACAGCTGGAGGCGGACCCAGAACCACGGCCCTCACGAACCGGGCGAACCAACGCCCGTCGCAGTACTTCAGCAGCCTCAACCACATGGGGAACCGGGCCGCACACAACAGGATGCTCCGCAGCACCCCCAACACCCAACACAGCTGGAACACCTGGCGAGGGTGCAGGACCAGGCACAGCAGCAGGAGTCGAGGAAGACGCAGACGCACTTGGCTGAGGGGCAACAAGCACCGGGGGCATGTCGGGTGACGCAGGAGGGGCCGCATCAGCAGCGACCGGGACCTGCTCCACTTCATCTCCGGAATTCACGCCCTGAGGGAGCGGCGGGAAATCCTCCTCCCGGAATAAGTTAACGGGTGCAGCAGGTGTCTCAGAGCACCCGGCAGCCTGATGCCCCAACTGGCCACACCGGAAACAAGTACGGGGCTGCCGGGCATAGTACACCCGAACGTAGTAGCCCAGCAGCCGGACAGAAGATGGGATATCCGACCGCAGGCGCATACCTAATGTACGGACGTTCGTCTGCTTCCCAGCATACTTCCCCGAGGACAGCTTGTTCACCCGCACACTGATGACCACACCATACCTCCCAAAGAATCGCCGGAGAAGGTTTTCAGGGAACTCCAGGGGCGCACCGTGCACACTGACATATGTCAGGGCACCACTTCGGTCCGAGATCGTAACGGAGCCGGCGCCATCCGGCAACTGCAATGAACGCCCCTCGTTCCGCCGGAGGAAGTCCCGATACTCCTCCTCCCCCACGAACTTGACAATCACCCGGTGGGCCGTAACAAGCTCAACGCCATACACAGCTTCCACCGGGACACGAAGCATGTCACACATAACTAACTCAACGGCCGGATAACCAGCCTTACAAGTGAATTCCAGTCCCACGGAATTTACCCGCAACACAGGAGGAATAGCCAGGCCCCCCATGGCAAAACGGCCACGTCAGCACGCAGCCAGGCAGGCAACAACACTCGGGGTTAGTGAAATCGTTGGCTTTGTCTAGGAGCCTGATAGTGATTAACCCTAACACAATAGAGATGGGTGCGAACTACTGATAAATACCTTTATTTATAAAAAAATAATTGGTTAAAGGCTAATGAAAGTCGTTTGTTGAGATCAAAATACTAGATATATGGATTGTTTGAGTACCAGTAAGTATTTCTGTATTTGCCGTTTGACTACTAGAGGGTGCGGTAGTGTCGGCCTTGCTCTGCAATCTCTGCCCACCTAGTGGTGTTGACGGTTGTTAGTTGAGACGTTGCTGGGGCCTGCAGGTGTGGGGTGGGCCTGCATTATGGGGTTTCCCTTGCCCCCGGTGCGGCGGATGTCGTAGGCTGGGATTGATTTCTCTGGCCAGGTGGACTTTCTGGCTCTTGATGTGGCGCTGGTGGATGTGCTATGTGTTGCTGTGACCGAGGTGATTGGTGTCCAGCTCGTTACTGGCCACCAGGCGGTGGTGAAGTTCCATTACAATGCTGTTTTTCTGGACTTTATTCAGCGTTATGACGGGCACACTTTTCCGTTGCCTGGGATGCTGGTACTGTGCAGGTTTCGGATTTTAGTGTTCAGACCACCTAAGTGAATGTGCAGGGCACGCTCTTTCAGTTTCCGAAGGAACTGATGCGTCGATTTTTTTTGAAAGTACAGGAGGGTATTGCACCACAGGATGAAAGTGCTTTCCTCTGAACGTCTGACGGGCCTATAGAATGGAACTCGGATCCTCACTATGAAACTTGTGTCCGCTATTCCGTCCTCTGTGGTGCTGATGGGGTTCACCATCAGGTGTTTCTGCTCGGGTCAGCCTGGCACGTGTTTTAAGTGCAGCTTGTCAGGGCACTTGGCTGTGGTGTGGCGGAGAGTGTGAATCTCTTCCGGAAGGATTATTTCTCTTCTTTATTTCTGTCCGGTTAAGGGGGACATTTTGTTATGTAAGGAGCAGATTAGAAGGTTGTGGGAGGAGATGGCTGAGTGGGTTCGTGTGTAGGCTGGGGTTGCGGAACGGTTGTTTGGTGAGCGTCTTTCGCAGGTTTTACTGTGGAAGGAGAAGGTAGATCGTCCTTCTGTTTTGTTGACAGTCCTCAATCAGTCGGATGGCTTGGTGTTGTCGAACACGGATTGGGTCTTTTTGTATGTTCGTCGGGAACTTGAAGGGTTGTATGGGCCGGTCGAGGGGGGGGGGGGGATGGGGAGATGGAGGATTTCTTACTTCGGCACTGTTCCCCCGGTTTGTTGTCGGTGGATTGTCTTGGTCTTGTGAGTGAGGCAGATCTTTTGGAGGTTTGGGATATTGTGCGTTCTTTTCGTCATACTAAAGTTCTCAGGTATGATGGCCTTCCGGCGGAATTTTATGTTTTTTTTGGGGGGGGGGGTGTGGGTGGAGGGGATGTAATTGGCTCATATTTTCTGGAAGTGGTCAGGTTCTGTTTGGGGTGGATGTCGTTAACTGCTTCACAGACTGATGGTATTGTGCAGTTGCTCCCAAAGCCAGGGGATTTGCGTTTCTTTTAAAATTGGCGTCCAATTACGCAGTTGAATCTTGATTATAGGATTATATCTAAGCTGTTGGCTGGGCAGTTTCGTTTGATGGTCGGGTCATTGGTTTCTGTGGAACAGTTTTGTGGGGGTCCTGGGAGGTCATTAGTGCAGTGTAGTTCCCTTTTTCGGGATGTAATCGTTTATGAGTCGAGGTCTGGTCTTCCTGCGGCTATGATCAGTCTGGATTAGTCGAAGGCATTTGATCGCGGTCCGATTGGGTTTGTGTTGCATGTCTTGCAGAGTAGAGGCTTGGGTTCCTCAAGCCTCTTGTGGGTTGGTAGGATGGAGGTTACGATTTGGGTCAGAATTTGGGCTTTTTTGGGGTCGATTGCGGTATACTATGTGTATACCGCGCGGAGGGACATTTCCGAGGGTGTTTGATCGTTGGTTTACAGGGGCGTCTGTGGGGTATGCAAATTTGTTATAGGTTGTGGGGTTTTTTGTTGTGTGTTTTCTTAGTCCTGTAGTGTGTTTTATATGTTTGCGAGTGTTCTTCTTTACTTGATTGTTGCTTATTTTAATCGTGATATGTTGTGTGTGTTGTTTGTGTGCTTTATATTTATCTTTCGTGTATCCCTGTTGTTGCGGACTGATGCGGTGTGGATTGTTTGGAAGGTTTTCTGTTTCTGTAATGTTTTGTCTGTGTTGGTTTGCGTGTCTTGGTACACTGTGATTGTGTTGGTGTGCGCTGTTGTTGTACTGGAGTTGTGCTTTGTGTTACGTGTGTTTTTCATTGTTTCCGCTATGCTACATTTTGATGCTTTGGTGCTTTGCTTTGGTTATTTATGTTTATTATTTATATATATTTTTATGTTTTTTTTTGTGTTCTTTTGGTGATGTTTGATGCCGATACCGTACCATCTCAGTGTTATGGTAGTGGTAACGGTCCCAGTGTTTTGGGCCCTGGTGTGATCGTGGCACCAAATGGGTGGTGCGTTTTCGTTTTGTGCATTTCCCTGTATTGTTTTGATGTGTTTTACCGATATGTATACTGACCGTGTGTTGTTCTGCGGGTGTTGTCTGGTCATGTTTTCTATGTTACGTACTCCTAGCTGAATACGTATATAAATTTAAAATAACTTGTTTTGTTCCATTATATCATTGCCTGTATATGTACACACATTGTGTTTTTGTAAATTATCGTGTGGTGTGGCAGCGTCAGTGG